ACGTTTAATATCTACTAATCATCTTTATCACGTGCGCATACGTGAATACACATAAACACATGTAACACACACACACATATATATATATATATATATATATATCGTAGATATATAAACATCGAACAGGTAGATACAAATATTTAATACAAAAGTTCATACGTGTTCTCTCACGTGTATATAATACATTTCCTAGAGACATAAAATATTAATCAATAATCGTATGATATAAAAAAGAAAAAAAAAAAAAAAAAAGAAAGAAAAAAAAAGAAAAAAGAAAACATTCCGAGTTATATAATTGTTGTTTCATAGAACTCGTGTGAGTCAGCTGATCGCGAAATTATCTCTCTTTCTCTCTCTCTATCTATTTATCTATTTATCTATCTTTCTATTTCTCTCTCTCTATCTCTCAGTTAGAACGATCGATATGGATTTGCACAGACTCGAGAGGCTCGTCGAGCTCACATCGTTGTATACATATATATATATATACAAACACATACACATAGACAGACACACAGACAGACATACATATATATATATATATATATATATATATATATATATATGCTAAATTAGCGCCGATACAAAACGATCCCTCGTAGCTCGAGGAAATGCGAGAAATTCTCATTACGATCGTAGATACCTGTCTATATTGATCGTAAGATAGGGGGATGACTAGGTGGTAGTATCGGAGAAATATAAGAAGAAGAAGAAGAAGAAGATGATGATGATGATGATGATGAATAGAAAGAAGAAAGGAGAAGAAAGGAGAAAATAAACGAGGAAGGAAAAAAGAAATAAAGAAGAGTGAAAAGAGAGATAGACGAAGAGTATGATGAAAGAGAAATCCTCGTCATTGATCTTGCAGATTCCTTTTGGTCTGCCCTTGGCCAACCTTAACGTCGAGAATTCTACTTATATTTGATCTTGTTCTCTCTCTCTCTCTCTCTCTCTCTCTCTCTCTCTCTCTCTCTCGTTCTCGCAGTAGTTCGACGAGACCGGATGCGTACGATTTACATGCACTCGCTAGACCGTTACGTGACTCGATTCTTCGTAATCAGAACGAAAGAAGGACGAATATTTCTCTCTCTTTCTCTTTCTCTCTCTCTCTCTCTCTCTCTCTCTCTCTCTTTCTCTTTCTCTTTATCACTCTTTATCTTTTATCTTTATCTTTAATCTCGAAGAGATTCGCAACGTACGGATTTTTTCCTTTTATCGATCTAAAAACTCAACCGTAGATCAGAGATAAAGAGAAAAGAGGATATTTGGATTAGTTCTGTGTGTACGCGCCCTCTTGGGTACTTGGTAAATACTACTCCATTAGTTTTATCTTTTCGATCTATTTATTTTTCCTAATTGAACGTTCTTCTTAGTTTTGTACGAAACTGCTCTTTCGTTTCCTTTCGTTTCGTTTCATTTCGTTTCATTTTCTTCCTTACTTGTTATATTTTATTTCTTTATCCTTTTTCATTTGAAAAATTACTACGTTCGTTACAACTATATAAAAAGTTCGATATATATATATGTGTGTGTGTGTGTGTGTGTGTGTGTGCATTAAAAGAAAAAAAAAAGAAAAAAGAGAAAAAAAACAGAAAGAAGAAGGAAAGAAAATAAAAAAATTTATAACAACAAAAAAAAGAAAAAAAAGAGAGAAAAGAAGAAAAGAAAATGGAAGGAAGAAAATAATGAATTTTTTTTCTTTTTTTTTTTTTTTTTTTTTTAACTTTCCAACGAAGAAAATATTATTTACAATAAATTAGATATCATTTTAATCGATCAACGATCGAAATAAAACCAATGGAAAACGAATTAAATGATATTTATTATTTGTTAATTATCGTCATTCGTTTCAATAGCTTCAATTAGAAATTTCTTTCGAGACTTATGAGCTTCAAAAGATTCTCTTGGAAAATCTTACATCCTTTCTTTCTTTCGCATCTTTTTTTATTTTCCCTATTTGTTGTTTCCTGTTTTCTTTCTTTTTTCTTTTTTTTTTTTTTCCTGTACGACTGAATGAAGAGACTTTTACCTTCTCTTTCGTAAGAAGAGATAAATCATCGATTCATTTCGAATAGAAAGAACGTAGTTTTATCGACGCTTGGAAAAAATGACGATGCTTTTCTATCTCTTTTCTCTCTCTCTCTCTCTCTCTCTCTCTCTCTCCCCCCTCTCTCTCTCTCTCTCCTTGACGTTCCTATTCAACTTCTAATTCCTTACGTACCATCGCGGAATGCGAATAAAGAAGACGCGACAGGACGGGTATGCTTTTCCTTCGACGTCGAGTCTCGTCGCATTTTAACTGCTCTCTCTCTCTCTCTCTTTTTTCCTCTCCCTCCCCTATCTCTTTCTCTCTCTCTCTCTCTCTCTCTCTCTCTCTCTCTCTCTCTCTTTCTTTTGTCCATGAATTGATATGTAATCCCGAGTATTTTTATTCGTCGAGATAGGCAATCAAAAGATATTCGTATTTTCTTTCATATTTTCTTTGACTCTTTTTTTTCTTTTTTTCTTCTGTCTCGTTGATTCTTTTTCATTTTCTTTTTCTTTTTTCTTTTTTCTTTTTTTTTTTGTTTTATTCGTTCGACTCCTTGGCGCAAGCAAATATCTTTATCGAGAGATATCCGTCGAAATATATGTTATCTTCTTATCCACGTAAATGCGATAGAAATTTCGTACAGAGCGTTATTTCATTTTTATTTTTATTTTTATTTTTTTTTATCCTTTTCTCGTATGCACTGACGACCTCTCCCCTTAATCCCATCCCTGGTCTCCCCCCCCCTCCCCGCGCCCCAATCTCCAACTCGACGCCCTGGCGTCGTCATAGTAAATTGAGGCTTGGTATAATAAATCTCGTAGAAAATTCGAAAACACAACTATCAAGTTGGCTCGCTCGATACGATAAATTTTGTCTAAAGCTATCTGGCGCACTTACGTGTTCCTTAAATTGCGGCTATCTAAAAGAGGGTAAACGGCGTCGTCTAGTCCGGAATTGTGTCTCGATTTCATTCGATTCGATTTCTAAATCGAAATCGAATCGAATCGAATCGAATCGAATCGAGTCGTCTTACTTATCTTCCTAACATTTTTAGTAAGGTCATCTTTCTCGCCAAGTTTTTCTTCTTCCTTTTCTTTTCTTTTCTTATTCTTTTTCTTTTTTTCTTCTTTCTCTCTTATTTCTCCCCCACGGAATTTAAAATGTCTAAACTTCTTTTCAAACGAGAAACCGAATAATATACATACATATATATATATATATATATATATATATATTATATTGAAACTCTCTTCCGACTTCTATTTAAAATCAGCTAAACTTTAGTAGAATCCCGGTGAATATTCCGTTCTAATATATTCCTTGAATTATTACTGCATTAATATTGAAATGTCATTATAAGTTCTTAGATATACATTTTCATTGTATTTTATTTAAAAACTGCCGTCTAAAAGGTTGAAATGGTATGTCATGGATAAAAATATTATTGACGATGTGACTTTTAAAATGAATAATTATATTCTTCAAAGGATTAATTATCGTTGCCGTTTGAAAGCTAACAGAGAACGCTAATTAATATTGCGATTCAATGGTAATAGAAATAGAAAAGAAGTAGAAATTATTATTATATACCTATATATATATAATTATTATAATAATGATAGCTATGTATATATATATATATATATATATACCTGTAAAAAGAGAGAGAGAGAGAATACTTTTATCTTGATCTCCTTTGATCAGTGAGTCTCAGTAATAAAACGGAGCATTATATATTTTATCGTGGATATGTATCTACTTATGTATAACTTAATGTCGTTCTCCCTACACGTGAACATATCCATATCTTTTTTTTTATTTCTCTTTTTTTATTTTTTTATCTTTTTTCTGACATAATAAGAAACCATCAGTGCGTGAGAATAACCACTTGCGATGTCCATCAATGAGAAAAAGAACAAGGTATATATATATATATATATATATATCTTGAATGTAGTTCTAACCGAAGTCATCTTTCATCTTTTGAATGGTACTCAAAGATACGTCAAATAAAAGAAATCGAATAAAATGACATTAGCTTTTACCACGAATATAGATACATATTTATATAGACAGTTATATATATATATATATATCTATGTTTGATTTCGTCATCGGAGAAGTTAAGATATAAATGGATGAATAAAAAGATGATAAGAATAAAATGAAATAAGAAAAAGAAATAAGGGAGAGGGAAGAAATACATAAGCGGATAAGAAAATTGAATCGCTAATATGAAATGCATCGATTTGTCTGTCTCTGTCTTATCTCCCTTTTATCAATCGCAACGTCAAATTTTATATACATATATATATATATATATATATATATATATATATAATCCGTTATTTCAAGAGATAAATTCGATTATTGATTGTGAAATATCTTAGTGAATATCTCGTTGAGATTTCTATATTTCTTCTCTTCTGAATCATGAGAATTCAATTTCGAGATTGAAGGGTTCTCTTATAAGAATTTGAGTTCATCGAACTTTATTCATCCTTTTCCTTCTCCCATTCTCCTCGTCCCCACCCCCTCTCTCTATCTCTCTATCTCTTTCTTACTTTCTTTCTTTTTTAGTCTTGAAATTGCATACTGAATACGATGCAAACAAGTTCTAATTTTGCTGAAGGAAACTAGTAAAGAGCTTTCGAGATATCCTACGAATATCTCCATACCTTTTACAATTTTTTTTCATCTTACATTATACGTAAAGATATGTGTCTGCATACATATATATATATATATATATATATATATATATATATATATACATACACAAACAAACGGATACATATATTCGTTCGCAGTCTTGTTATCGACATATAATTCTTTTTTTTCATCGTTTTTCATTTTCAGAAAGAACAATGAAAAATATAGAATAAGAGATAGACAGACAGATAGACAGATAGACAGAGAGAGAGAGAGAGAGAGAGAGAGAGAGAGAGAGAAAGAGATAAAGAGAGATAGAAAATGAGAGAGAGAGAGAGAGAGAGAGAGAGAGAGAGAGAGAGGTAGTAATGTATGGTGAATATTTTATAAAGAAAAGGGTCCGCACACACATATCACCTTTTATTTCACCCGCTAGTCGATGAAGCGTGCTTATCGTCTTACCGGGCCGACGCTTTCTATATCAACCCGTAGCGAAGGTAATCGACCTAAATTTACCGAGGGCGGGGAGGGGGGAGGAGGGAGGGGAGGGGGGAAAAAACAGCGGATTGTAAATTACGGGCGCACAGGATGAGTGTACTTGACACGGCCCTGTCCCATCAGACCGACCACGCTAGATGAAGAGAGAGAAAGAAAGAGAGAGAGAGAGAGAGAGAGAAAGAGACAGAAAAAGATAGAGAAAGAGAGAAAGAGAAAGAGAACGCGTCATTCAAGGTTACCTGCTCTTCCGTTGCGTCCTCGTTTCGAGTGGTGACAACCGAGAAACTGTCGCGAAGATATAAAAGCCTTCAAGAGTGAAATGTATATGCAAAACTCTCTTTCTCTTTAACACGCACGAATAAACTGTGGTATAGTTTGAATATACGCATAAATACGGATTGAGAGAGAGAGAGAGAGAGAGAGAGAGAAACATGTGTTCTGGCATGCACGCTTATATCATCAAATGCAAGAGTATCCGAAGTACCTGAGGAATTATCGAATTTTTCGAAATACTTTCATTATTGAAAAAGCTTCCTTTCTATTTTTTTTTTTTTTTTTTTACTTTTTTTCCTTTCTCTCTCTCTCTCTCTCTCTCTTTCTATATATATATATATATATGTATATATGTACATATATATGTATATTTTATACAGCATACTGAATAGAAAAGATATATAGATATTTATGGAGATAGCAGCGAGGTTTTGAATGTGAGAGTGGGTTGGGGTGGGGTAGATAAATAGATAATTTTATTATTTCTATATTCGGTTAGATAAATTGTGATAACGTTAAAGTGAAAAGTATATCCTGATAGGAAGATGCGCAAATGATTTTGTATGTCCTTTTTCTTAGTTTGAAATGAAAGTAAAGTTAGAGAAAAAGAGAGAGAGAGAGAGAGAGAGAGAGAGAGAGAGAGAGAAAGTGAGTGAGAAAAAGAGGGAATTTTTGTTTCTTTTTTTTTCCATTTTTTTTCTTTCAACATAGCAAACGTAAAACGGGTTGATTGATTGCTTGCTAATAGATCTTAGCGTTTCGTGTTTGCACCCCAAACAGAATCGAAATAGAGATCGCTGATAGTTTGAAAATGTAAAGTGAATTGCATTACTTTGTGATAGAATTCCTTTAGGTGTATTTATTTCGAGTATGTGTTTAATCGTTAGAAGTTTGATCGGTTGATCATTAGAATTGGATATTAAAAGGGTTGAAAATAATTGAAATAAAATTTTTATTTATAATTTATAATTCAATATAATTTCTATGTTCAATTCAATTCAATTCAATACATTATATTACATTAGATTTAGTTTAATATCATTTGACTCGTTTGTTAATTTATTTATTTGTTTATTTATTTGTGCTTTCAGATCGCTTAAGGAGGAACGATACGATGAGGATCGGTCTAATGTTAAACTTCCTTGGGATATCCATGACGTAAGATCTTAGTTTATAATTTGGCTGCTCGAAAAGAAGAGCAGCTGTTATAAATAAGGAGAAAGAAAAGAAGAAAAGAAAGGAAGGAAGAAAGGAGGGAAGAGAAAGAAATAAATAGAGAAAGAGAAGAGACAGAAAAAGTGAGAAATATATAGAGTGTTAAATAAATAAATAAATATATATATATATATACATATATATATGTATATATATATATATATGTATGTATATATAGGAGTTTTGATGATAGAATGACGATGCTAACGACAGCGTCTGATCGTCCGGAGGCCTCGTTGATCGGCGTGACGTCGGTCCTGGACTTAGCCTCAGGGAGTAATCTCAGTTTGTCTAACAACATAACAAATGGGGAAGAGTCAAAGGATCAGGATCCATGGCGCGACGTATCATTGACCATATTAAAGGGTTGTATACTTGGTTGGATCATAGTTATGGCGGTATTTGGTAATTTATTAGTGATGGTGTCTGTAATACGTCATAGAAAATTACGGATTATAACGAATTATTTCGTTGTCTCGCTCGCGCTCGCGGACATGTTAGTTGCCATGTTCGCTATGACATTTAATGCCAGCGTACAGATATACGGTCGATGGCTTTTCAGTCATTTCATGTGCGACGTTTGGAACTCATTGGACGTCTACTTCAGTACTAGCTCGATTCTCCACTTGATGTGCATCTCGGTTGATCGTTATTATGCGATCGTGAAGCCTCTCAAGTATCCCATCAAGATGACGAAGAGAGTGGTAGCTTGTATGCTGCTAGCTTGCTGGTTATCACCGGCCATCATATCATTCGTACCGATATTCAACGATTGGTATACCACCAGTGAGCACAGCGCACACCGACAGATCCATCCAGAAACGTGTTTGTTTCGCGTTAACACTGGTTACGCGATTATATCGTCGTGCATATCATTTTGGATACCTTGTACGATAATGATGCTAACATATTACTCGATCTTTAAAGAGGCAAATCGTCAAGAAAAACAAATGCACAGTCGTTTAGGTAACGCTATGTTAATGGGCCATAGATCGAGTAAAGATCTGAACAATCTTAATGGTGAATTAAATAGTGCCGGTTCATCGAAAACATTAACCCTCAACGAGATAAATACGGATCAATTGCATACGCCTACAAAGGACAAGAACATAATGAAGATGAAGAGGGAACATAAGGCTGCTAGGACACTTGGAATAATAATGGGCACCTTCATACTCTGCTGGTTACCGTTCTTTCTATGGTACATTTTTTCGATCTTTTCGAGAAACAAAAACAAACGAAAAAAACAAAACAAAAGAAAAATATTCAATTTCGATCGGGAGAGGGGAGTGGGAAAAAGAAGAAAAATAAAACTTTATCACTTAGTAAAATGAACTAACAGTAAATATTGCTCGATCACAATTTCTGATCGTTATGACAAAAATTCGATCGAGACGATAATAATAGATATAATTACGATTGAATAATGAAATGATCGAGATCTATGATAAAAATGATTGATTTGAGATAATATTTAAAAGGATTAATTGATTAACTTATTAAAAGACACATAAAAAAAAAAAAAAAAAAAAAAAAAAAAAAAAAAGAAGATATTTCAACGTAGATAATCATTAGTCTATTATTAGTTTTTAATTATTCGTCTCTTTTTCTTTTTTCTTTTCTTTTTTTTTCCTTTTCTTTTCTTTTTTTTTTTTTTTTTCTTCTTCTTCTTTTAGGTACGTCATAACAGCACTGTGCAAGACGTGTCCATGTCCCGATATCGTCATTGCTATATTATTTTGGATAGGATATGCCAATTCGGCGTTAAATCCGCTGATATACGCATACTTCAATCGTGACTTTCGGGAAGCTTTCAAGAACACCCTACAATGCGCCTTTTGTTCACTCTGCAAACGGCAGCCGTCCGATCTCGAAGCATTGAACTTCCGCCGGCCATCCCTAAGGTACGATCTGGTCTAACAATTTGAGGTATGCACTTTGTTCTCTTTTTTTCTCTCTCTCTCTCTCTCTCTCTTTCTCTTTCTCTCTCTTTCTTTTTCTGATCTATCTATCTTTATATCACTTTAGATCTCCCGATCCAATTCCATTTCTAATTAATTCCATTTAATCAAATATCGCTTCCATTTTTTTTCTCTTTTTGTTCTTCTTCTATCTCGTATAACTTTCGCTTTCTTATATATATATATATATATAGATATTTAAATAGTTTAATACAAATCATCTGTATGATAACGCGTTCGCATGGAAAATAATCTTTCTCTTGATCCTTTTTTCTTTTCATTTTTTTTTTATTTTTCTTCTTTTCTTTACTTTTCTTTTTTTTTTTTTTCTTTCTCTATCTATATCTATCTATCTATATCTATCTATCTATCTATCTATCTATCTATCTTTGTTCTCTGGCGACTCATTGGCATCTGCTTGCTGCATCTCGGTATCACCGGAACGAAATAGAGACATAAAACGAATGTATTTAAATGGGACGAGATCTCACTTCCTGTCACATTATATCTCTTCTGTCCATGGACCATCCTCACATTCCCTCCTTCTCTCTCTCTCTCTCCATCCCTCCCATCCTCTCCTTTCCTTACCATCATCATTCTTACTCTTAACCTTTTACCTTTCTCCTCTTACGTCCTCTCCCCCGACCGTAGTGTCAGGGATGATACGAAAGTTCTGTCACAGGCAAAGTTTTACAGTGAGTCGTAAATTAAAAAAAAAAAAAAAAAAAAAAAAAAAAAAAAAAAAGAAAGAAAAAAAATAAAGAAAGTAAAGGAATAGAAAAAATTCTCTCCTTTCATTTTTCTCTTTCTTTCTTTCCTTTCTTTCTTTTTCGTTCTTCTTCGCTTTTCTTTTTTATTTATTTATTTGTCCAGCTCTTTTCGTTTTTCTTTTTCATAATCGTCCTTCGCCATTGCTCTAATTTGATAAAGAAAACCGCGAATGTTCGCGGTAAGGATCAAATTTCTTTTCCTTTTTTTTTCCTTTTTTTTTTTCTCTGTTACGCGTGAATCTTCATCTCTCTTTTCTTCCTTTCTTTCTTTTTTAATTTAATTTCACTCGTTCTCATCGCCTTACCCCAATAGATAAGAACGATCTCACGTTTTTTGTTCGTTGTTATTGTCGTCGTCCTATGTCCTTCGTCGTCGTCGTCGTCGTCGTCGTCGTCGTCGTCGTCGTCGTCATTGTTGTTGTTGTCGTCGTCGTCGTCGTCGTTGTCATCATCGTTGTCCTTTCGTGGTCGTCGTTGTTACTTGTTATTCTTTTCTTTTTCCCCCTTTTTCTTTTTTCTATGTTCTTTTTCCTCTCCTTTTGTCTTTTTAATTTTGTTCAGTCTCGTATGGATCACGCGCGCGTGTGCGCGTGTACGTGTGTGCGTGTGCGCGTGTGTGCGTGTGTGTGTGTACATGTTTGTGTGTAAAAAGTACCT